CCAGCAAGTTTTAACACCCAATGGTTCAAACACCCAATATCAAATGCTGGATGCTCAGTTAAGCAGTGGTCATGCATGTTTTCTTTCAGCATTTTTTCCTTACAAGGTTCACATAAACAATGACATTCATTGGGTTTTACCACAAAGGCCAGGACACAGTTACCACATTTACACTTATGGACCATTAATATATATTGAAGTATACAATTGAAGTATACACTGTATAAATCAATTAAATTAAATTAAATATTTCCCACAACTTTATGCAAATTAATATGTTTTCTTATGTGAGTAGGATTTCCAATTTGGCAACATAGTCATCTTTAAGCCATCTCTCATTGAAGACGTTTCGTGCAATAGCGGAGGTCACAATAATATTTTATAAGCTCTCTCTCAGTTATAGTGCTCTTCATGTATTATGTTCTTTCAGCGGCAAGAGCTTCAACTTTAATGAAAGGAAACCAGTTCATGTGTTTAGACAAAAAGTTTAAAGCAACAAAATTCGTAAACATACTAAACATTAAATATTCAAAGGAGGGGGACATTGGGATTTACGGTATGGCGGTATTAGCTTATTTTTCTTACGGTATTTCGGTATTTTCCTTGAAAAATTGCGGTATTACGATATTGGAAATCTTGCGGTACACGGTATTTGCAATTTCGGACTAAAAACTGCGGTAATTGAAAAAATTTGCTTGCGGTATTACGGTATTGAATACCCCCCAATGCCCCCTTCAATAATGTAAGCCGGGCTCTGAGGCCTTATTGAATGTGCCTTAGAGTTGTGCTCTCCCTAATATACTGTTCAAAAAGGGACTTTTAACTTGCAGTGTCGTTTCTTGGGAAAATTTTTACAATCTTCTAGCGGTAACCATTCCCTTCCTTTACGTTATGTTACGTACGTCACGCACTTACATTTGCCTGCTCGTACACAGTGACTAAGCTAAAAAAAACTTCCCAAAGCTAAAAGAACTTCGTAAAACAATTTCCAACAAGTAAATTCCTTAACTATAGCTTTGAGTAAATCCAGTATAATATAAATAAACTATGGTATATATAAACTATTATATATACAAACTTGTTTCGTATGACAAACAATGCTTGCCACACTCATCATGCAGGTGACAAGCAATGCCTGTCACACTCATCTTGCCACACTCATCAGACCTGATGAGTGATCAGACCTGATGAGTGATCAGACCTGATGAGTGATCAGACCTGATGAGTGTGGCAAGCATTGCTTGTCATACGAAACAAGTTTGTAGTGAAAAAATTTGCTCTATATATATCTTTATGGTATTGAGCACTCTTCGCGTTTCGTATACATAAACCTACTCGTATAGACTCATTGCACTGACGTCACAAATCCTTAGAGTGTCCTCCAGATGCTCCATAACAATATCTGTTCAGGTACAACAACCACATACAGCGAAAAAATTAACCATTTTAATACAAAATTATTATAAAGTTTTACAAAATTTGCTTTGTTTACAAAAGTTATATTATGCATAGATTGCTAATTTGTCCTCCAGATGCATCGTCACCGGCGCTGTGACGTCATGTGAAATGGGTCTTATATATTATATATATATATATATATATATATATATATATATATATATATAAAAACCAATGATAGAGTGCTCAATGGATAACCAGAGCATAAAAGAAAGACACAAAAACTTAGCAAACTTGTAATTGTTTGGCACTTTGTTTCGTAAATAATGTGCCACAGATAAAATAGCCTATGTTTGACCTATATCTTCTAACGAACTTTTTAAATATGTACAGATGGTAAAGGATGTTTAGCTAATTACAAATCAATTAACACCTCAAGTAGTGATATATATATATATATATATATATATATATATATATATATATATATATATATATATATATATATATATATATATATATATATATATATAT